TTGCAGACCTGTTAGAGCAATTTTATAAAAGTAAGCTTGCTTGAACTTTCGATTATGTCAAAAAGAATTTCCGATTCTGGAGCTACCACCAAAGGAATCTACAAAGCGAAAAGCATGTTTTCAATGTCCATCAAACAAAAAGTGGAATTGCTGCAAAAAATGGATAAAGGCATATCCTTTTATTCTCTAACCATTCAGAAATATGTTTATCAATTTCACGCTGCTCTGCAGGGGGGGGAGACGCAGCGCACAATGAACTGGAAGTTGATCTGTCAGCACTATCCTTATCTTCAGGGCAGATGTTTTTATTTTATTTGGCTTATAATTCCTTACTAAATGTAGTATTTCATCTCAATGTACCCCGTCTTTAATATGATTTAAATCAAATTCCTCATCATTATAAATATCACGAATACACATCAAATAGTTGTCTGGTTGCAATTTTCTAATTTCGACTATGTGTAATGTATGCTTTACGCATGCGCGCGTTGAAAGAAATGTTTAATAAAGTAAACAAATAAATATTAAGGGTTTTTTTTGTAAATTTTGATACCCTTTAGATCATAATTGCTCTTTATTTCATAAATTATGGTTTCATATTTTTAATTTTATAATTTCTGCATGCCATCTTGCCAGATTTAAACTGATGATCTATAATCCAGAATCGCCGAAGTCCCGACGAGTCCGGATTAAAGACTTTTGACTGTATTAAAAGTTTTGTGCCAAATTTTAAGAGGAGAAAAAGACGTTGTAACAGGAATTATTTGTACATTTATACATTAGATCTTCAGAATCAGCTATCCACTTTATACCGTCAAATAGTTGTCGGTTGCTTAAAGGCATAAAATTTCCTTATCTAATTCAAGAAATCTAAAAATTAGTAAGGTTAATGCCAGCTTTTTTTAAAGTATTTTTAATTATTTTTTGAGGAATGAAGTTATTTTTCAAAATTGTAACTTAGTACTTCTTTGAAGGTGTTTTGCAGGTTATTTTAATTTTAAGCAGCTGTGAGTAAATTGTGTTGAGGATGACTCTTTTAGAAATATTGGAATTCCAGTTGGTTAACCTAAGTGTTGAAAAGTTGAATTCTCTTCGTTTGTCATAGACTTTTCAAAAATTGTAGTCTATAATATGCAAATCAAGGTAGACTATATTATATTGCACGGTATTTGTAGTATTAAGTTTTAGACATGAAGGGTAAATATTAGCATTTCCTATTTTATTGAAGTTTATTGAGTGAACGTATAAAAGTTAATTCCTTTGTAAAGAGGAATAATTCACAGACAGAAGTTGAAAAATTACCTCCCGTGGGAATTCCCTGTATTCGTTTCAAGATGTTGTTGAATTGAATATAATTATTGAAAAGTACGCTTGAAAGAAAAAGTTGCCATTTTTCAGCATTTATAATTGTAGAAATTTGGGGAAATAATTCAGGAAGAGCAAGTAAACTTTTATAAATTTCTTCAAGTGGTAAAGTAGTATAGAGGTTTTCAAAGTCGTAGCATTGGATATGTTCTACTTTAAGTGTATTTAAAGTATTTAGAACATGTTCGTTAATTGAAATCATCCAGTTGCAATGTAGATCTTTAAAATCATAATTATTAATGAGGTCACGTATTAGATTTAGTTTTTGTGCAAAGAGATAATCTATTTCTTTAAGATAACTTTTGGTACTATTGGCAATGAACCTAAATTTGATTGGAGTCTTATGAAATTTGGGTAGTGCATATAGATTTGCAAATCTGTTATTATATTTCTGAGGAAGGATTTTAAGTTTTTTATGTAGTGCATTAAATTTATTGAGAAGAATCTTAGTGCTCGTAGTAATCTTTGGATAGGTGCAAGCATTATTCAATTTATTATTCAGAAGGTCGAAATAAAACTTTTTTCAAATAACACTAAAATTGTTGCTAGCTTTGTCAATTTTTGTGATGATAAAGTTATCTTTCTGTTTCTGAATTAAGAGTTTCTAGATGCTTTTTATTGTGCAAATAATTGAAATTGGGTAACTTGAAAAGCATAAGCTGAAATTCTTTAATTAGTGCAGCTTTCCATTCTAGAAAAGTAGTAGTAGGTAAATTGGATCTATTACTAGCTAAAATGATAAATTTATCAAGATCATTATTGAATTGTTTAAGGCTAAAGGGCTTATTAATACTGACAGTAGGACGAAATTTTGTGCCAAGTTGCATAATTTCTCGTAATTGTATATCTTCAATGATATTGAGATCTCCAGTAACTATGCTGGTGATACGGATCTACATATTTATTGTAAATAGGAAGTTGGCAATGACATATGCTATCTTCTATTATATTGTGGTGGTTGATAATAAGTTGACCTTACAAAAATACAATAATTGAATACTTACAAGTAAAATTAATAAAAAGTAGGCTTATGCTAAACGAATTAAGTAATTTTTAACACTGTAAAAAAACAAATCAATTGTACGAGGTAAAATAAAAATAGTAAGCTATATGTTAAACGAATAAAGTAGATTTTAAAACACAGTAAATACTAGTCATTGATCAAGGTAAAAATAAAAAATAAATATTAAAATTAAAAACGGTAAATGGTTAATAGTCCAATTCGAAGTCATTTTGGCTAGTCAAGGGAAATTTTTAAAATGAATCGAACCAAGCTAACTCCATTACGTGTTTCGCCGAAACAGACAATTGAAACTTTGCATGACAAATTTTTTTAATGCATTAAGTTAACTATGTCAAAAACCTTAGTCTCAATTCTCTGTTCCAATTTCCCGACACGTCCGCTTATTTTGACACACTAAGGTGTAAAAAAATAGAAAGGCAATTCCGATGTACAGAAAAAATAAATAGCGATATGCTATTAGTCAAAATATACAAGAACTTATGGGTTGGACCTGCGAGCTTAAAGAATTAAAACTTTGAAAAGGTACCTTAAATTATATTTAAATCAAAAAGGAAAAGATAATATAAAAGACGACTAGAAGCGTGGGTCTTGCCAAGACCTAGAAAAAACTTTTAGAGAAAAAAATTATAAAAATCAGACCTGGTACAAAGCTCTCTTCCTTGGTGACGAGGAAACTCGAAAAGGGTGTGCAAACCCCCAAGCGTTTCCATTGCCCTCCAAATGGTCGGATGACGGGGGTTCTGTTTGTGTAATGTATTTACAGTTTAACAGAAGTAGAAAGTGTCTTTATATTCTATTTACTTTTATAATGTGTTAATACTTTATTTGCTTTTATAGTTAAATTTGAATAAGAATGCAATTAGAAAAGTGATTATTTTGAATACAAATAGAAACATTATTTATTAAATTTTTGTACTTCTAAGCATATCAATATATATATATACACTCACGTTTGTGAAAATTGCAACACCAAGAAGGAATCGTCATAATTGAATGCAATTTAATACACAGTTGAGTGGTAGTGGTACAAATAAATGATTAAATGTTCAAAGCAAACAAACAATAACAAGAGATCAGAATTCAGTATTTGTGTGGCCACCACGCGCCGCAATAAGTGCTGCTACACGACGTGGCATGGAGTCAAACAAAGTTTGAATGTCTGACTGAGGAAGAGCATTCCATATCGTTTGTACGCGTACCCAAAGTTCGTCTGCAGACGCAACAGGACGAGGATCACGAGCAAGACGCCGACCAATGACATCCCACACATGTTCAATTGGCGACATATCCGGGGAACACGCAGGCCAAGGAAGAAGCTGTACCTGCTGCGCTGCAAAGAAGGATTTAACAATCCGAGCAGTATGAGGGCGGGCATTGTCCTGTTGAAATACAGCGCCTGGCAAGCTTTGAAGGAAGGGAACAGCTTCGGGCTGTAGAACTTCACGGATATACCGGTTGCTGTTCAGATTGCCCACAATTCGTAGCAATTGAGATCGTCTATGATATGCTATGGTGCCCCAGACCGTAACTCCGGGTGTTCGTCCACTGTGGCGTTCGATAATGCACTCTGGAAGGTGTCGTTCACCGACATAACGTCTGACACGAATGCGGCCATCATGGTACCACAAATTAAAGCGGGATTCGTCAGAAAACACGCATGCTGCCAATCAGCACGCCAGTCTCTATGCTGATTGGCCCATTGTAGCCGCAGGCGGCGATGGTCGTGCGTTAGGGGGATCCTGTATAAAGGAGTCCGTGCGCGCAGTCCACACTGCAGCAGACGTCTACGAATGATGATGAAGCACACAATGAAACACCTGTAGCTATTGACCACAGTGCTGCCAATTGTCTAGAGGAAGCTGTACGGTCCGTCCGCGCCATGCGGACCAGGTGTCTATCATCGCGAGTGACGTCACATTTCGGGGTCCACTCCCGGATTTCCGAGTTGTCCGACACTCGTCCGTCCACTGCTTCCAAACGCGCATCACTGTGCTGCTGTTACGCTGCACACGAGAGGCTACTGCACGATACGACAATCCAGCTTCACGAAGGCCGATGATTCTCCCTCGTTCAAACTCTGTAAGTTGTTCAAATCTCGCTTTCTTTCGTCGACGAGGCATAAGTACAGATTGAGTTAACGTTTACCACTAGCAGATAACCATACACGCCTCGCTACAGCCGTCTATTTATTCGGATCCATCAGGCGTTCAGAGGGCGCTGCTCAGCATACGCATGCGCTACGGATTTGCAATTCTAATCATTTGCATATCATGCGCTACTTTGCATTTCTTGAAAATTTCAGCTCACTCGCGTAAGTCCTTCATGGTGTTGCAATTTTCACAAACGTGAGTGTATATATATATAATTTTTTTAGTCTTTACTAAATCCATTTTTGTTTTTGAAGTAGTATATAAGGTGTAATATTACAGTAGTTTTTTTTGCACGTAACTTTGCTGCTTAATATTGTATTCTTGTTTAAACTTGGAGTAACTCTTTACTCTGGAACTGCAGTATCAAATGTGTTTAAAGCATTGCTAATTTGTACTTCCTCTTCTGTGCAACTATATATATATATATATATAATATGTATATGTTCCTCATTATTTTGCAGGGTGGAGTTGTTTTTCATGTTAAGTCTGGGAAGTGCCTTGATGCTAATAATAAAAAATCTCATGATGATGCAGTTGTCACTGAATGTCATGGTGGCCATTCTCAAGTCTGGTGGTTTGAGCATTATGTGCATCCTGAGATTAAGGTTGAATATCATTAATACTTAAAGTGAGACAGTAAAATGATAGATTACTAATAAAGTTTTAAACCATTAGATAATACCACTGTTGTCATATGTGAATGACAAAAAATATTTTTGTGAGGTGATAATACATCATTGTTACACTTTTGTGCCTTAATGTGATGTTTGAAATGAAAAGCAGTATAGTATTCTAAGGAACATCATTGTATTTTGGGAGTGGAATGTGTGGAAAGTCTTTTTTATTGCATTATAGGTTTCCAATTTCAACAAGGCAATAAATTTCCTCTGTGATCATTTTTAATATAAAATAATTGCTTATAATACTAAAGTAAATGATTAATTTATTAAACAATTTTAAATGAATGTAATATATAGTTCTAAAATCTTAATAACAAAATTATTTTTCTTTATTTTTATTACACAAATTATTTTTTTAATTTTAATTACCCTTTTTTTAGATTTTTTTGGTGGAGAAGGGAAATTATTTTATATGATCTAAGAATTCATAGACATACCTAGATGCATTGTTATATAATATGTATCACCAAATATAATTTATGACATAATTATGTTGCACATTAGGAAAAGAAATTAATCAATTTTAAAAATATACTTTAATACTTAAAGCAGTACAGGAGTATATCAGTTTAAGACTAATGTTTTCTCTGTTTAGAAAAATTGGTGTTGAAATGTTCCAATATAAGATTATGTTGACACAAATTTTACAATATTGTAATTGTATATAAAATACATTATTTTAATTCAGCCAATAATTTTATACATTCTTAAATATTATATATTATCCATTTACTATGAAGTATAATTATTAATTGAGATATATATATATATGTAAACAAAATTGAATGTATTTGTATTATGTAAAGTGATAAATATGACTGCTATTACAAATAGCATTAGCATTTATTGTTACTAAAGCTTTGAGCCTACTACTTAAATATATGTGCAAAATAAAGCATTTTTGGTATTACAGTTTAAATGAACAAAAATTAATAATTAAAATAAATATTTTTCCATCAAACTTTGAGTAGTTAAAATCTGTACTAGCTAATTTGGAAATTAATAAATTTCAAGCTACTTATTTAAAGTAACTAAACTTTTCTTGGGTATTATAAAATGTTTGCATAAAAATAGAGAAAAGCTTCTAAACATTCTGTTAATAAAACTGAATTTGCCTTTTGCTATTGAAGGTTATGCACAGCTACCAGTTCTCTTGGTTTTTCATCACATCTCATATTTTTTAATTTTTGGCTTTTTATAAACAAAGGGAAATATTTCCCATCAATAAAATGTTTATTACATTTTATTCCTCTTTGTGTTATTAAGTTTCATTTGTTCTAACTTGCCTTAATGTATTGTAGATTTTTATATGAAGATTTAAGCAATGTTTAATCAGTTAATATTTGTATTTAATTTTGTTTACTTCAATGTGTGGGGCATTACTAAGTTTATATCACTCATAGTATGTACATTAATTATCATATATTAATTTTATTTTTATAGCATTTAAAACACTAAAAGTTTAAGAAAATTAAAAAATGAAATTAGCCAAAGAACAGAAAACTTAGAGCATTCAATTAAATGCTAATATATTTTACACTAGGAATGATTTACAAATAGTTTAGTAATCTGAACCATGCATTGAAGTCAGTTTGGAGTTCCTTTGAAAGAGTATTGCTATGTGATATCTTCTGGTTTATCATGGTTTTCTCACAAAAATCACCTGTTTTTAAAATTTCAGTGTTGGCAGCTATGGTTATGTAAGCACGTAATTACTTTCATAACCCTAGATACAGTTCAAAATAACAACATTGGGATTATAATTATGGTCTTCTAGTTTTTTTTATCAAATTCATTATTATTATATAAAAGTCATAATTAATCTTTTAACCACAGAATGTTAGTCCAAAGCAACAGCTGTGGAGCAAAGGTTGTGCTTTTTAAATTTATAATCAAAACAGCTCTGAGCAAGCTGTATTATTAAAGACAAAATCTCAGGTCACATAATCAGGCATCCCACTCCTTATAAATGCATAAACCAATTTCTGAAAACTATACAAGTATTCCCGGTGATTGTCATTCATTTTTTCTTTCCTTACTTAAGCTTTTGCAATTCTGCATTCTCTATTTAATGTGATATTTGTAAATCAATCTTTTTTTCCCTTGTCTATTTTAGTATTCTTCCCCCCTTTTTAGTTGGAACTAGTGATCATGTTTGCTTTTAAGTATATGTTATTTTTTATTTGAAATGTTTTATTTTAAACATTGCTTTGTATTCTTTGTTATAAAATACAGTGATGTACAGCCTGGTTGTACTAGTATTATTATTAAATATATCCAGTTGTGTAACGAAGAAAATTTGGTACTTTCCGTTTTGTAATATTCCTCAGAAAAGCTTTAATGTCAAATTGCAAAACATCATTACATGTGGTTATGAGTAAAGAGGAATAGCAATAAACTACAAGTGGCATCTTTCTTATATGATACTGCTAATAGAAAAGTACTAGAAGTTTTGCTAATTGCATTAATATGTTTTGGCTGTTTTAAATTATTTCATTTTAACAAATTTTAATTTGATTACTTGCATTTAAAAATATGTAATTACCATGACTCTTTTGTGCATCACTGTTTAATCAAATTTTCATAAATAAAAGGCTGGAAATTTGGTATGCATGAAATTTAATTTTTCCATTCGTATCTCAAAAAAATTAATATTTTTCTTAAAACTAAATTATATGTAATAAAATTTGGAAAAGTAACTGACGCTTTGACTAAGCAAATTAAACATAGCAAAAAAGTTAATTCAATCAGTGAAATATATTTTGAATAACCAAAACTTTCATATAATGTTAAAAAACTATTAAAAAAATATATGGAAATAAGTGCTTCCCTCCCTAGTCATAAAATTTAAACCATGATGTTAAAGCATAGCATATCAGACAACCAGCTTCACATAAAAAATTATTTGTTAAAATGTTGGTATGAAATACAGATTTATCATTGTTCTGTTATAATTGATTTGGCCGCATTACATTTTTCTTCCCTACAGATTAGTGAGATTCTGACCATTTTTTCTTCTTTTTTGTGGCATATGTATATACAACTTGAATATTATTTTCTATGTATTTTTCACACTTAAATCTTATTTTTTCAAGTTCTCTACATTTATTTATTTATTATTTGATTTTGTGATTATTTTTTATTTATTTATTTTGTTGTCTATTTTTTTTTTTTTTTTTTTCTGTTAATGGTGCTACATTAGTAAAAGAATTGACTTATCTTTTTTTATACCATTGGTGCCATAACACCAATAATTGCCATTAAATAATTTAGTCATATAATTTAATATTTATTGGTCACTCATTGCATTATTAATTCCATTAAATTAAAATTATGTATAACATAAATACAGGTATACCTTAAAAGAATAGATGATTCATTTTCAGATCACTTTAATACCAAAGAAATTTTTAGAATACTAAGACAATCTCCATTTTTTTTGGCTTCTAATACATGTAAAAGTGCATGCTGACCATAAGTGTAATCCATTAAATATATAATATCACTTTAAAAAAAAAAAAGGGGGGGCCATGTACTTGAATAAGGAATACTTTGTTGTTTAAAAATAACAGTCATTGTATGAGCCTTCATAGTTTTGCTTTTATGTTGATGACTAGAGATTAATCAAGGGGCTAAAAGTTAGAGATGGCACTAGAATTTTGTTTCTTTTTTTAAATTTCAAATGAGAGCAAAGATGAACTCTTCTATTACATACAATAGAAATTTAGTGTTTATCCTGCAGACACTGCTGCTGTTTTATCACCATAGAGTATGTAATACTTCTGTAGACTTCTGATTAACTGATATAACACTGGAGATGATGTGCATGGTTAATGTAAAATCATGACTGATGTAAAGGCAGTTAAAAAAAGGCAGGAAACAGAAATAACCAATATTACAACTAATAGAAAAGTACTGTTAGGATTTTACCTATATTTTAACTTGTCTAATCTGAAGATAAGTTCACTTATTTAAGTAAAAAGAATGCCCCATAAATAATCGAAGAATAAGCATCATTAGAAATGGAAAAGCTAACTTATAAATGGCATTAAAGAATAATTTGCTACAGAATTTGAACAGTATCATAGAATTCAAACTCATCTAAAATAATTGGTTAGAACTATTTTGGGCATTTTAAATTCTATATTTTAGTGTGTTAACAGCTGTGATTTTCAAAATGATCGATGAAGGTTGTAATAGTTACTGAGCATTTAGCATATTTATTATTAATTAGCTAAATTTTAATAGTAATGGAAGAGAGTTGGCATACTGGCAAAAATCAAATTGTATAACTGGTAGTTGCTACAAATTTTCATTTACTAACAAAGCACTCCTGAGTGAGGTATGCCTGTATTGTTTCATATGACATGTAAACTTCAATTCACTGTTGTTGTTGTGTATATATAAATTATTCTGAGTAGTATCTAAATATTTATCTAACAGAATTACTTAAAAAAATTGCATTGATGAAATTTATGATGCATAATTATTAATAGTAAGTAATTTATTTTTAAAGTTTCTCATGATTAAATGATGTATTGCAACTAAGGTGTGTGGTATGCTAATAAAATTTTTTTAAATGGTGAACAATAATCATTCAATGTGAGTTTTTCATAATTTTTTTTAATATTTATCAAAGAAAGCTTCAAGTAAAATTAAAAATATCAGATTTTGAATAATTCCAAACTTTTCTAACATACCTTACAAGATATGAATTTAAATATGATTTAAATAGGCTTTTTTATTTATTAAATAGAAGTATTAATGGCAAAGGAAGCAGATTTATTTTTCACATCTCACGGAAAGTCCCTTACCGAAAGTGTTAAAGCTCGCAACAATTATAAAACATCAAAAAATGTTTCAAAGGTATTCTTTGCCTATGTAAAAGGTTTAAAGTGTGCTCTCTTTGTGAGGAAAATCATTTCTTGGCAAAATGCCCAAATTACTTAAAACTGCCGGTGAATGATCGAGTTGAAATAGTTAAAAGTAATCAATGATTCTTTAATTGCCTAGCATTAAATCATTCTGTTAAAAACTGCAAATCAAAAGTTTCATGTTCTGTATGTGGCAAAAGGCACCATGTAACAATCCATTTTCCATTAAAAAATAAATCATTGAAAAAGAAGGGGAAAAAAATAAGAAGGAAACAGCAACTAGTTTCAGTGTACTCTTTCCTCCTAGTGCCAGACTTAGGTTTAAAAGAATTTGTAAAACATAGCCAATTTCATCACTATATAACATTTGACCATACTAAAATCTGATGTGTGTTAAGGAAAGTAAATAAGTTCTGTATTAGGTGAACAAGTTCATCAGGGATCGAGCCGCGATTAAGAATATTAAATATGTATTAATTTTTTGGGGGCAAATGGAAGATTTTAAGTAAACCTTCAAAAAATTCTTTCTGCATTTGACACTAATTGTGATTGTTACGAAACACAGAAAGCTATCTTTGGTACTACTTGATTTTCACGGCCTCTTTCTCAAAATGATGGCAAGCTTATTGCCAAGTTTAAACTACTCGTATATATAATAGTTTGTGGCTGCCATATTTCCGCGATTGCTTTTAATACGGAATCAAAAGGCTTATCTCTCCCAAAGGATTGCTATCACATGAATTTGGAAAGATGCGATTTTAGAGGATGTCGAGTTGTACCTCTTTGCTTTTTGTTTCACCGTTTAACAGAGCCCCACAGTCTTTCCACATTTTGGATGTGAGTACCCATGGTTGAATCAACAGAACTGAATTAATGATTCACAGTTAAATGGCTGTAAAGGTCCATCTACGTGTAGCGATTTTCTCGGCCGACTTTGCCTTACGACAATATTTGAGATAGCTTGCCTGTCCACATGGAGCGATTTTCTCCATAGTACAGGAATTCACTCAAACAATCACTATGAAAGGAAGGATTTCCGCCTTCTACAGTGTCACACTGCTACAGTCATGTAAACAAAGCTTACAGTGATATCAAATAATCAAAATAATAGATGAAGTTTTCCCTTTAATTGCTGCTTTAGCAACATCTGCAATTTTGATCTTTGCTGCTGGCACAGAAGAAGAAAAAAAGAGAAGAAAGAAAACGAGTTTGGTCTAGAAATTGGATCAAACGAGGAAAAATTCATGGTACGCATAATACCCTGTTCCGGGAGTTGCATATTGAAAACACGGTGGAATTTGGAAGGTATTTATGGATGATGCGTTATTTTGATTTTTGTTAAATTTAATTTGCAGCAAAATTGAAAAAACTGATACAATTATGCGTTTCTTAATTTCAATTTCACTATCTGAGAGACTGTATGTTACTCGATACGTTCTAGCTGGTGATAAGTTAATTTTTATATTATTAGAAATTAACTGATTGATTTTATTGAAATTGGTATACCTCAATCACTAAAACTAAAGTATAAGTGTAAACAATACTTTAGTTTTAGTTTTTAACCAATATTATTTTCATTGAGAAAATTTTAATGAATTTTATGATAATTATTTCATTGTATTATTTTTAATGGATTATGTTAATCTTCTTTATTATTATCTTACAGGATGTTTTTATTCACATTATTACTATTAAATAACTAATACAGTCTGAAAACTATAATCATATGGTTATATCAGATAATCAGCTAATAAAATGAGCAATATTGTATTAAATTGCACTGTAATTTGTTTACATCTATTAACACAAAACTGGGTTTTTCTACAAATTTTTACTCTCAACAAGGTACTATACATACATAAACTCTTATACATGCATAAAATAATTTTCACCATAAATAGAAAATATCTGAATATAAAGTAATGGGGAAAATAAAACTGTAAAAGTTTACAATTGGGTGCCCCTTGTTTTTTAGTGATTCTTTTTTGAAGCCAAGATCAGCACCAAAAAGGCAAAATTTCAAGATGGCCGCTACACAAAACCAAAATAAAAAGTCAAAGAATTGCACCAACTCTGTGTCCATGTACACATCCATCTATTTTGACTTAAAAAAAAACCTCTCAGAATTGCACAAACTAGATATTGTGCCTTAAATTTGTCCATGTACACATCAATCTATTTTCGTTTAAAAAAAAAAAAAAAAATAAGGTTAGCTAAAACAAATTTAAATCTATCATGGTAATCAAAATAAAGGAATACATTTTTTTTTTTTTTTATTTTTAAAATTTACATTGCTCGTATCCTACAACACAACATTTTCTCTAAATATCTATCAGTTTAAAAATTTGGGTTTCGCTCCAACGAAATAGCGCAATGTTTATTATTTATTCCAAAATGAGGAGAAAAGCATGTGATCGCTCAAAATGAACCGCCATTTTTCTGTATTTAATACCCCCCACTAATCACATATGAAGTTTGCTGCTTCAGTAATTATGTTTGACACATGCACAATTACATATAAGCCGCCATTACGAAATATCGGCGATCAAGTATCACGCTATTAAATACGACATATCATCACGATAGTTCGTCCATCTCTGCGCATGCGCTAGCCACACAATTTCGCCAAGACCTGATAAATCGCCAAATTTAGTCGCGAGTTGCGTTTCCTATTAAGGAAGTAAAAGCACGGTGACGCTCTGAAGCACCGGCGATCCCTATGTGGTGACCAAAACATTGGGTCA